AAAAGAGGGCACTGAGACATCTGCATGTCCGCTTTAAAACAGCAATAATGCTTTCGAAATCGTCGGCATTGACCCCCTAAAAGCATCAATAATGCTTTGAACTCGTTTCCTTTTACCACCTAAATCCAGTCATTCCGCTCAGATTTAAACTGTATGTTCATTGGCTAATTTTATTTTGTAATTTTCTTACACTTTGAAACTGAGAGCAAGGAAAGAAAGCTTTAATTCATCATGTAAGCAAGATGAAAATAAAATTTATAATAAACATATACTACTGTGTGAATAAATTTAGTAATATACCATATGGTGATGCAAAATTAAATACAAAATACTGACTGACTAAACATCAGTTGAATCAGTATATGAAATTCAACAATTGACTACAACAGATTAAGAAAAAGGAGATCAAACAAAATTTAACAAGGAAAATAGTGCTAAAGATCACTAGGAATGGAGGAAAGAAATTTGCACATTTCAAGTTTCATTAATTCAACATAATTGCTGAGCAACATTTTTATTAGTACAGGTTAACAGTTAAAAACTGTGAGATTTGGTGATTGACTGGGAAATCAGAAGATACAGGGGAGAAAAAAAGTAGTAAGATTCTCAGTAAAAGCAGGACAGTTGGCAGGTATGATGAATTAAAAATAAAATACTGTAGTTCAGAAGATAGGTATATCATTGACCAAGAGATTCACCTTTGAGAAATAAAATTTTACAATTAACTTTAAATTTGGTCACTTAAATACTAGAAGGATAATTAACAGGCTACAATCAACATCTATTGGCCCTGATAAACAAAACTATATCATTTTTTAGATGGCTTTTTGTAATGATGAACAGGTTACTAAAATGTTTCAGTTTCTACTTAGAAATATATAAAACTGTGCACACAAAAAGATAATAAACTGTTTTTCATGGTATATAAGACGCACTTTTTTTCCTAAATTTGGTCTCAAAAAAGTTACCTGCGTCTTATACGTGAAGGTAATTGCATTCAATAATTGTTTATTTGGCTTTTACGAAACGTGAGAACTATAAGAAACCACGCTATTGAAACTTTTTTTTCTTGTGTGTGGCCGTCTAAATAAGGGTGCGTCTTATATGCCGTCAAATACGGTATATATATGAGATGGCTCTGGCTGTTGCAAATAATCATGCATTCCAAGCAATATGTAGAAGTAGTTTACTCATTTTAATTATAAAATAAACTAATTTTTAAAAATTTGCATAAACCTTTCTTCTGAATGCAACATTTAGGTATTCACTCTTGAAAAGCTCTTGGGGGCATATTCAAAACGGCTTTGCGCCTTCTATTTGAAAGGAAAGAATTTCTCTAAAGCTTACAAGCGTCTTAGATAATGAAAAGGGCATTAAAAGTTAATTTTCTAGAAAAATGGTTTATTGAGACTTCGAACTTGTTGCAATTCAGGTCGGAACTCACTACTATTTTAGCTACTGCAAATAATCTTAATAATAGTTATATTACTACAATCAGGTTTTATAGATTTAAAGAGCACATATGATTCTGCTAGATAAATGGAATTACAGGTATCTAATATTTTACAAAAGTTCACCACTTTACAGCAATTCTTTTGTATGAAATACCTACATTTGTATATTTTCCAGCCAGAACAGATGACAAGTTTTGATTTCTAACAAGATATCAGAGATCTAAAAAACTGTAGAGGGAGTGATTCTTTATAAGCACCAGTATTTTGGTGGCTGAAAAATGCAGTACTTTTGCTGGGAATCAAATCTGGCCAAATGTAATGATATGCTGACCTTGGCACCACAATAAAGGCATGATTTTAATTAATTACATTTTTCCCCAACTAAAAATGTCTGAAGGAGACAACGCCAACCCCAGTTCAAGGTGAGGCCAAATTATCGACTGCCAGATTTTAACTTGGGCACCTATGTTGAGCTATTAGGAAATTTTGGAAAGAACACTTGACAAATGAGTTGTGCCCATTCATATTGGAATCCTAGTCTTCAGTAACTTGCTTTATAATATTAACCACTGAAATATAAGTTATGAATATGTGGACAAATGATAAACAAATTAATACATTCATCTTTGCTTTCTTACAATCTCCTGTTATCTTTTACTATTGAAACTTCAATAGCACAGTTTTGTACACCATTATCAGCATGCACATTGTCTTTCCAGTTTTGAAAGTAAAATGGTACCATATGTTGGTTTCAAGTACATGGGCTTCATTTTTTTACTACTTTCTCTGGTATTTGGTATAATAAATTTTTCTTGAGCTTTTCAATGATCAGTTGTGTTTTCCACACAAATTAATTGTACCAGCTTCTTCCTCTATAAAATTTCGGCTTACAAAAATGTTACAAAAATGTTACAAAGTTTCTGCTTTTATAAAGTAGGGAGAAACCTGCATTGGAGAAATCTAGAAAAGCAATTTTAGTCTTTGACAGGCTGCCCAAATGAATTTGTTGTTTGACAGGCTGACCACTGTTTTAAATACAGAAAATCAACTCATGGTGGCATACAGATTAAATGTTCTCAAGATCTATGTCAAGTTGCTAATTTGAGTCTCCAACTTTGATGACATTATGTTTTCTCTTTGCATTTCATTTGTTTAAATATATAGTGTACTCTAGGATTATCAGGGTGCAGATTATCTATGTAAGACAAGCATGCACATTCTGCATGAGAATGCATTAAAAAACAAACATGCGCCCACCTGAGACTGCTCTGAAAACTGCTGTATTTCAACGTTAGGCTTAGTTTCAACAATTACCCCAAACAATTCGCTCTGCATGTGCATAGTCAAAGGTACTGTTTGGATTGATCTTTGCAATTTTGTTTCGTTTTGTATTTTCATGCACATTTCCTTCTTGTTCTTATAAAAGTTAACTAAAAAATTTTAAAGCTAGAAACTGAATAAAAACATGCTACAAATGCTATGCTAAGAGCAAGAAACTAAAAGTTGATTTAAAAATTTTAGAGCTAGAAAATGAACAAAAATATGGTACAAATGCTACGCTAAGAGCAAGAAACCTGTTTTAACACTAAAACAAAAAACTTAATATTATTAAACTTAAACTTAGTATTAATTGAAAAATCAAATCACCAATAAAACTTGCTGACAAATATAGAACTGGTATTCAAAATGTTCATGATATTGGTGAACAAAAAATAATTTAGAAGTCTTCACAAGAGATTGGTGATAGTGTGGCAGGTCATGAAATGTTGGGACCTGAAAGTAAATTTAAGGCCTCCTCAGGATGGCTTACAAGATTTAGTGCCGATATGGTATTAAAAAACTCGAAATACAAGGACAGCGTCTCAGCGGTTGTGTCGAAGCCACTGATATAAGATTTAAGCCCTGATATGGTACTCTAGAATTTGTTATACAGAAATTTCTCAGGGACTGTGTTCAAGGCCGTTGACGAACTCACCAGAGTGGATTAGAATAAAATGATAAAATAGCATTTAGAGAAATGTGCAGTGAAATTCAACAAACATTTAAATTCTCTCAAAAAGAAATTACCAATTTTTTAAAGAAATAATACATACAATATGCATGACATTCCACAGTTTGGATTATCAGTGTTTTTCAGTTAACCATGATTTGTTTCCCCTTCATAAGCCTGAAGTACTATGTATAGATGAAAAGATTACCGTCTCTAACCTGCAACATTTGAAATTAATTAAAAAAATCTGATGTGTACACCACATGACTTCCTTGTACGGAATATTAAATTATACGCATTTTTTCTTGCCTTTTATTTAAACTTATTAGATTGAATTAAACCTACTTCGCTGACAGCGCATAAACCACAATAGAATAAATGCATTCTTTAAAATTCACTTTGTTTACCATAGCGACACTCTGGCACTAGGTTCACTTAACAATATTATATTTCATTCATATTATAACTCAGAATGTATATCATTTAAAGAATTATCTAATCGTTGCCACATGTTCTATTCAAATACTATAATAAAGCTAGAACTATGTATAAAAGAAACAGTTTTTTCACAGATGATTCAGTATTTCTCATTTAATTAATTCAGTTCTCACTTCGCGAGAAGGCAAAAATACATAAAAACTCAAAATATCTATATTAAAAATTACGAAGTAAATCTCAAACGCTTATTTCCTCGAAAAAATTCCAGAAAGAATTAAGCATGATTTAATTGGCAATAATAAATGAATGCGCTATCTTTGTTGTTGCGAAGCTAAGTTTCTCTAGATTGGCAACAAATCCACTAGTCTCCTGTTTCAAATGTAAACATCAATGACCACCATTAAAAACAGGCTTAGCGGCAATTAAACAACTTTAAAATTGCTGATAATTCTAAAAATATTGCACACATATTTATTAAAGGCATAAAATCCTTAACCGGAAGATAAAAACAACATAATTCAATCATTTTTAATGCAAAAATGTACAATTTAGAAACATGTAAGAGTAAAGAAACTGAGATCACTGAGCCAGGTAATAGAGTGGATATATATATATAAATATTTATATACGTTTGGTGCGGCCGATTGCAACCAAAATACGAGGTGCACATCTACATGTTATAGCACTCCTATATACAAAATTTCAACGTTCTGAGGCTACTCGTTTTTGAGTTATGCGAGGCACGTACGTACATACGCCACGAAAAATTCTCTTCAGAATTAATTTTGAAGGAAAAGGTGTATTTTATTCTGTCCTTACATACAGATATCACACAAAAACATCGTTAAATTGCTTTCGATAGCGGTCAAAACGGATATTTTCGTTGAAATATGCTGCCTGAAACCTTTTGCGATTACAATACTTCCTTTTTACTTCATACAAGGAAGTAAAAATTAAAGTAAAATATTACTGCTCTTTCAATAAATGTTGTTTTTATTGAACATAGCATTTTATATATAGAAAATAAATATTTTGTTGAATACTGAAAAAAGAGTATTCATATTTTTTTAATTTTTATTTTCACATAAATCAAAGAAATCAACAAATCTATTACTTACTTATTTTTGCTGTATTTCTCATACACTGCCTGTTGAGGATATGCTGAAACAATACACCAACTTCCATACAAACACTTGATAACATTCTTTAGATCACTTAAGGAAAAACCAGTTATTTTTTCCAAATCTTCTGACTGCAAATAAAGAGTATAATGTTTAAGTTGAAAATATTTTAAATAAAAATACTCAAGAAGCACATGTAAGTTCCTTAATGCTGGAACATATAACGGCCTATAAAATAAGAAGATATTAGTTTTCAATGAACAAATAAAAGTGAGGTTACAGCGAGATCTACCTGCGGCTCAGGCAAACAATAAGATGCAGTGGAACACTCAAAAAACATACATATCTTTGTATAAAAAAGATGTCTCCTATGATGAAGCCTATTCAAATTGTGTCATTCGCACAGACGACAGCCCTGGTAATCTGAAAAATATTATCATCAGAGAGGTTTGATTTCTTAAACAAGACCCCCAATTTTTAACAATTCACTAAGAATGGCTGGACAATAAAAAGTAATTGCAGTTTTCAATTCTTTATCCGGAGAGTTATCACAATTTCTGTAGATTTATTACCCTCTCAGTCAATTTTCAATACTCTGTGATGGCCAGTTCTAAGCCTGACTATGGTTTTGGTTGACCTCCATTGATGTTATGGAGCTTGTGCTTTATTTGAAACGAATATTCCTTAAATCTATTTGAACGTGCATTTGCGTCTGAGAAGGTGAAATTTACATTATTATTACTGTTGAGATTTCGAGCCTCCTTTGCCATTTTAACTGTGTTCTCGTTACTTGTGATGCTGACATGTGCTAGAAGCTACCAAAGAATACAGTCTTACCTAACTTTTGAATTTTGTTTATGCAAAAGTGGATCCCATTGGTAAACATTGAGTTTCCACCCAGGGTTACCTTAGAGCTGCCAGAAGACAATGATTCTTTTTGCTTGCTCAGAAATGGGAAGGGATACATTGCAAGTGCTTCCGCTATTGCTAGAAGCTCGCAAGTGAAGTTAGAGAGTATGGCTTCAATTTCAATTTTGTGTTGATAAGTAGTATTGCCTGAGACAGTTAGAAATACTCCAGAACCTTTAGTAGTGATTGTCTTATCACATGAACCATCTGTATAAACTTGTGTACAAAGTCCTTCTGGATACTGCTCAACGGTCTTGATCTTTTTCACTTTATTGAGGTCAATCAACTGTCAAATTATATATAACTGTCAAATTATATAAACTTAGGAGATAATATAATCAATTAATCAATACTGTTTAGGAAATAAATTACTATCAAATTATATATATATATATATATATAAATTATCTTTGCCAAATTATACAGAAGATGACCTTTTCAGTTTAGTGTTGTCATTACAGTTTTCAAAGGTTTTTTCTTAGTAATGAGTTCTTCCAGTACACGGCACCTTACCTTGTTTGTAAATTTTATTACATTATACAGTCTTCTTAACTCGAGGCTTTCAAGATCACATTCCCAAATTACCTTAACCCGGCGGAAGTCGCACCATGAAAAGTTACTAGAGTGGGCGCGTGGGGTATCACATACCCCAGTATTTAAAATATGATAAAAATAGTCTTATTTTGTTTTAAAGCTGTTTTTCTTGTTCTCTTGTATTATAAATACATGAATAATAACTGGATTTCAAAAAATTAATTTCCAAAATAATCTTAGAGTTAAAATTAAGATAAATGAAAATAATAAAAAAACAAACATCATGCCTCTAAGTTTCATTGCATCTCTAATACACAATGCTTATTTTATTTCTTTACTTTAGGAAACACTTTCATGTGTTCTTGGCACAGAATGTTTTTACATTTTAAACATTGCATTCACGTTCTTCTGTCCTTGGCGCGAGGGCAATTTATCACATCTTTCATACATAGTTGTTTCAAATTTCGTGTATTCGTTTTAATTCTTCGTCGAAACTCTTGCTTTTGTTTTGCATGCAGTACGTCAGTTTCTTGGCAAAATGTTAATCTCTGATCCTTGTTCAATACTTTTTTTCATTAATTGTAATGCTAAGTCCTTCAAAAACAGACTTCTGTTTCTGGTTGGTGGATTAGCAGTTGAATGTAATATAATTCAAGCATTTATTGCAGCAATATTCAGTGCAGGAAAGAAAATTATCATTGGCCACCTCCTTGTTATACTGGCAATTGAATAATTGGCTGACATTTCATTCCCCATATCCACTACTCCTTTAGTCATATTATAAAAACACATAATTCCTGATGTTTTATTTTCTCCAACAGTACCATCTATAGTACGATGGTTATATAGTATTGAAAGCATAAGAACAGTTTTTCCTTTTTTAGGAACATTAGGAATTAATGATTTACCTTTTGCGAAACCAAAAACAGTGTAGAAAATATTCCTAGTTTCATCTTCAGTTTCCAAAATGCAATCTTCATCGCTTTCAAATATTTCTAATAAATCTCACAGGCGCTGCATCTTCAACTCATAGGGAGTCATTCTTTTTACCATAACGCGGTTAGAAATTTTTAAGAATTTAATGTCAAGTACTTTAAAATCACTTGCGAGTAGAAATATTTACTGTTACACTCTAGAAATAAATTTCTGAACTAAATATTCAGTCAGAAAAACACTTACACGGACAGGCGCATGAGGTGTGTCATACCCCAGTTCCAACAAAATACCGATAAATCTTTTTCTGAAACACACAGGCAAAGAAAAAGCAGTTCTGAAAGTCAACCACAACTAGAAACTCAGCTACTGAATGCAGCACAGAATTTTAGTTTCACAAGTTAGGAATATTCCACTTTAATGTAGGGGTGGGGTATGATACACCCCACGCGCTTTCCCGCGAGTTAAAATTACTGGTGGAAGACAATGCACTCGAAATGATTTTTGCAGCCTTTGCCTGAACACTTTATAATTTCCTAAGAGAGTCTTAGTCTATGATCAGCCTAATTAATGAGGTTTGTTCTAAGTGTCTCAGGAAAGCTCTTCAATTTCTTCCACAGATTTTTGATGATCCTCAGTTTTTGACAGCTCTGTTAGCACAGGTTTTGACATGCTCTGTTGTATCTCTCAATAGAATTCTAAAAGGTAAAAAGAAATCTCTTACCTTTTCTTTCACCCGGGAGCCGAGCTTGTTCCATTCTAATTCTTATTCGATGAAATATCTAAATAATTCCAAGCTTTTGCATAAAGACTGACACTTCTGGTTAAATAAAGATATTATATTTAGATACAGTTATATACAATTATTAGATTACATGAAATTACGCGGTCTCCAGCTAACAGTCATTCAAGTTCGAGTTCAGAGTTCTAACTACGTTCTTACGTAGGATTATTCTCGAGTTTAGATGTAATGGTGCTGATAGTCCGGAGTTTAGATGTAACATCACCCCCCACCATTGAGATCCGACGATGCGGAGGAACTCAATACACACAGGTCCAGTCGATGAGGAAGCCGAACAACTCGTCCAGCTCTGGTCATCACTCGAAGACTTGAAGCAGGTTGTGGAATACTAGCTGCCTGATCAGCCTGGCCAGTTGCATGGCCGTTTCTATCTCGAGGTGCTCTGTCGGAGAATGGAGGGCCAACGGATTCGGAAGTAGAGATCTCCAACGGGAAAAGCCGGGGCACTGGACGAAGCAGAATTCCATTTCTTGCCTTGACCCTCGCTAGTCTAACTATTCCGTCTTTACTGGGAAAAAGATCGACTATCTTGGCTAAAGGCCAATGTATGCGTCGTCTCTGGCTGTCTTCCAACAGAACGACATCGCCTACTTGCAACTGTTGAAATTTTCCCTTCTTTATTGCCTGTTGTCTCAACTGACCAAGATATTCATTACGAAATCTGTTTCGTAGATCATGTCTTATTCTCTGTCGGTATTTGGCTCGACGGTTTAGTTCTTTGGAATCTACGTAGTCCATATCAGGAACGCCTGATGACGGCAATTCTTGCAGGAACATCATAGGAGTCAGTGGTGATGGATCTTGATTATCCTCTGATACGTATGTGATAGGTCGCGAATTAATCACTTGTTCACAGTCACATAATATAGTATATAATTCTTCATAATAATTTAAGGACGTTCGACCTAACACTCTTCTTAAATTTTCTTTCACCATTTGCACAAGCCTCTCCCACCAACCTCCCCACCAGGCGGCGGTCGGAGGGTTGAACTTCCATCGTATCCTTTGGATAAGCAGCAGCTGAACATATGGCGTTCCAATTAACTTTCTTAAGAACACTGTTAGTCCCTACAAAATTAGTTCCGTTGTCGGAATATATCACATAAGGTCTACCTCTTCTGGCAATGAATCTACGTAAAGATTGGATGAAAGTTTCTGTAGATAGAGAAGTAACTAGTTCGAGGTGAATGGCTCTATAAATGGCACATGTATACAAGACTATCCACGCTTTAGACCCCTCACGGAGATAGAGAGGACCCGCTAGATCTACACCGACGACTTCAAAAGTCGCCCCTTCTCTGACTCGGTCTTCGGGTGGATATCCTGGCTCGACTTCCACTCTTTGTGAAACAAATCTTTTACATCTTACACATTTTCTGATAATATTCCGAATACTTTTTCTGGATTTTAATATCCAAAAGTTTTCTCTAAGATTTGCCATCAAAGTGCTGACACCAGCATGCTGGAGTTCTAGATGTTTCTCGTACATTAGTCTCCCAACAAGAAAGTGTTTTGAAGGTAAAATAATAGGATATCAGAAATTTTCATTATCTTGACGCTGTAGGACATTCGTTTTGGCTCTTAAAATTCCATTTTGGTCTACGATTGGTCTCAGCGCACGAATAGCGGGATCGTTTATGCCTGTAAATGATTCTTTCTGTACCAATCTACAAAGTGCCTTTTCAGCATTCTCCAATTCATCAACTGAGACATTCAGGAGTGAGGTTTTTTTTATCTTTGTTCTTTAAATTGTGATAAAACCTGAAAATCCAAGCGATCATTCTCACGGTTTTTCTATATGAAGAGAAGTATTTGTAGTACCGGTCCAAATTGTCTCCATGATCTAGAAGAGTCAGAATCGTTTTCCTTTTTTCCTTGTTTATAAGTTCCTCATCAGGCTTTTCTTCTACATGGGGCCACTCGTCTTCTGGTAAGTAAAGCCACGATGGGCCC